AGACTAAACAGACTGGAGACAGAGAGAGAGAGAAACCTATAGACAGACAGAGAGAGAGAGAGAGAGAAACCTATAGACAGACAGAGAGAGAGAGAGAGAGAAACCTATAGACAGACAGAGAGAGAGCGAAACCTATAGACAGACAGAGAGAGAGAGCGAAACCTATAGACAGACAGAGAGAGAGAGAGAGAGAAACCTATAGACAGAGAGAGAGAGCGAGAGAGAGAGAGAAACCTATAGACAGACAGAGAGAGAGAGATAAACCTATAGACAGACAGAGAGAGAGAGATAAACCTATAGACAGACAGAGAGAGCGAGAGAAACCTATAGACAGACAGAGAGAGAGAGAGAGAGAGAAACCTATAGACAGACAGAGAGAGACAGAGAGAGAGAGAGAGACAGAGACATACCTAGAGATATATAGAGAGAAACCTATAGACAGACAGAGAGCGAGACAGAGAGAGAGAGATGGACAGAGACATACCTAGAGACATAGAGAGAGAGAGACACAGAGGCACGGTGAGAGAGATAGAAATACCTAGACAGAGAGAGGGACAGAGAGAGAGACACAGAGAGACTAAAACAGACCAGATAGATAGAGAGAGACAGACAGACAGACAGACAAACAGAGAGAGAGACAGACAGAGGGAGAGACTTAGAGGTGATCCAGTATACTGTACCTATCTGTCAAAACCTTTCCCTGTCTCTTTAAACCTTAGACGGTGTTGTTTTGGTCCTGATGTGGAGGTTTTTGGTGGTTTTTATTGTCAAATAAATGTGTTTTCAATTTTCAAGTGACGTGAATAACATCGTTTGTGTTCCTCTGGGGAGATCTCGAATGTGCAGTTCATGCGAGGTGGCCCAGGAATGTACAGGAACTGGAGGCTTTTTGCAGAAGAAAAGGACCAGAGAGACCAGAAAGAGAGAGAGAGAGACCAGAGAGAGAGACCAGAGAGAGAGACCAGAGAGAGAGACCAGAGAGAGAGACCAGAGAGAGAGACCAGAGAGAGGGACCAGAGAGAGGGACCAGAGAGAGGGACCAGAGAGAGGGACCAGAGAGAGGGACCAGAGAGAGGGACCAGAGAGAGGGACCAGAGAGAGGGACCAGAGAGAGGGACCAGAGAGAGGGACCAGAGAGAGGGACCAGAGAGAGGGACCAGAGAGAGGGACCAGAGACAGACCAGAGACAGACCAGAGACAGACCAGAGAGAGACCAGAGAGAGAGACAGACCAGAGAGAGACCAGAGAGAGAGAGAGAGACCAGAGGGGGAGAGAGACCAGAGGGGGAGAGAGACCAGAGGGGGAGAGAGACCAGAGGGGGAGAGAGACCAGAGGGGGAGAGAGACCAGAGGGGGAGAGAGACCAGAGGGGGAGAGAGACCAGAGGGGGAGAGAGACCAGAGGGGGAGAGAGACCAGAGGGGGAGAGAGACCAGAGAGAGGGACCAGAGAGAGGGACCAGAGAGAGGGACCAGAGAGAGACCAGAGGGGGAGAGAGACCAGAGGGGGAGAGAGACCAGAGGGGGAGAGAGACCAGAGGGGGAGAGAGAGCAGAGGGGGAGAGAGAGCAGAGGGGGAGAGAGAGCAGAGGGGGAGAGAGACCAGAGGGGGAGAGAGACCAGAGGGGGAGAGAGACCAGAGGGGGAGAGAGACCAGAGGGGGAGACCAGAGAGAGGGACCAGAGGGGGAGACCAGAGAGAGGGACCAGAGAGAGGGACCAGAGAGAGGGACCAGAGAGAGGGACCAGAGAGAGGGACCAGAGAGAGGGACCAGAGAGAGGGACCAGAGAGAGGGACCAGAGAGAGGGACCAGAGACAGACCAGAGAGAGAGAGGGAGACCAGAAAGAGAGAGAAAGACCAGAGAGAGACCAGAGAGAGACCAGAGGGGGAGAGGGAGACCAGAAAGAGAGAGAAAGACCAGAGAGAGACCAGAGGGGGAGAGAGACCAGAGGGGGAGAGAGACCAGAGAGGGAGAGAGACCAGAGAGGGAGAGAGACCAGAGAGGGAGAGAGACCAGAGAGGGAGAGAGACCAGAGAGGGAGAGAGACCAGAGAGGGAGAGAGACCAGAGAGGGAGAGAGACCAGAGAGGGAGAGACCAGAGAGGGAGAGACCAGAGAGGGAGAGACCAGAGAGGGAGAGACCAGAGAGGGAGAGACCAGAGAGGGAGAGACCAGAGAGGGAGAGACCAGAGAGAGAGAGAGAGAGAGAGAGAGAGAGAGGGAGATAGAGAGAGAGAGACCAGAGAGGGAGGGAGAGACCAGACACACTGCTTTAGCACCAAAGCTGGGTTTAGTCCCTAATCTGGTCCGGTGGGAGAGTTGCTGAGAGCGTTGTTTTAGACCTGGCTCAGCCTTTTTCAGCTTTTCCATCGTCTACACAAACCAATGTTGGTTTGATCATTTATGTGAGCCAAGAGCAGAGAAGAGACGCCTCCTCTCTCCTCCTCTCTCCTCCTCTCCTTCTCTCTCCCAACTCTGCCTTTCTCTCATCACTATTCTCTCACTTTCCTCACTCCTCTCTCTCATCTTTACTCTTCCACCTCTCCTCATTTCTCGCTCCTTATCTATCCTACTCTCTCCTCCTCTTACTCTGCTCTCTTCCCCTCTCCTCACTCTCCCTCTTTACTCCTCCTCTACTCTCTCTCTCTCTCTCTCTCTTTTTTATTCCCCCGCCTCCTGTCTTCTCTCCTCACTTCTCCTCCTCTCTCCTCACTTCTCTCTTTCTCCTCACTCCTCTCTCTCTTGGATTTTGAACGGAATATAAGTGGTTCCTCCTTTTGATTTTGGACCAATAAGACAATAAACGATTTCGGCAATAAACTTCAGCCGAAATGAAGACGACATAGACGAGAGAGAGAGGGACGAGAGAGAGGGACGAGAGAGAGGGACGAGAGAGAGGGACGAGAGAGAGGGACGAGAGAGAGGGACGAGAGAGAGGGACGAGAGAGAGAGGGACGAGAGAGAGAGGGACGAGAGAGAGAGAGAGAGAGAGAGGAGAGAGAGACGGGAGAGAGGATAGGAAGGGAGAGAGAGAGAGAGAGAGACGAGAGAGAGACGAGAGAGAGACGAGAGAGAGGCCAGAGAGAGAGGCCAGAGAGAGAGGCCAGAGAGAGAGGCCAGAGAGAGAGGCCAGAGAGAGAGGCCAGAGAGAGAGGCCCCTCTGCAGAAGTTGTCATAGGGCTGTGAAAAAGAGCCAGGGTGGAGTGAGGACATGTATGAGCCCGAGGTTAAAAGTGGACGTGATCGGGACCAGAATGTCTCCGCCTCGGCGGGGGGTCGATGGTTCGCCCATTTAGGATCAGTGATGACATGTTTGCAACTTGAACTTCGACTTTAGCCGGAGCTAGATATATTAGATATATTTAACTGTACATGAAGACAGGAGAGGACCGGCATAACACTTGGAGAAAGACAGGAGAGGACCGGCATAACACTAGGAGAGAGACAGGAGAGGACCGGCATAACACTAGGAGAAAGACAGGAGAGGACCGGCATGACACTAGGAGAGAGACAGGAGAGGACCGGCATGACACTAGGAGAGAGACAGGAGAGGACCAGCATGACACTAGGAGAGAGACAGGAGAGGACCGGCATGACACTAGGAGAGAGACAGGAGAGGACCGGCATAACACTAGGAGAAAGACAGGAGAGGACCGGCATGACACTAGGAGAGAGACAGGAGAGGACCAGCATAACACTAGGAGAAAGACAGGAGAGGACCAGCATAACACTAGGAGAAAGACAGGAGAGGACCAGCATGACACTAGGAGAGAGACAGGAGAGGACCAGCATAACACTAGGAGAAAGACAGGAGAGGACCAGCATAACACTAGGAGATAGACAGGAGAGGACCGGCATGACACTAGGAGAAAGACAGGAGAGGACCAGCATGACACTAGGAGAGAGACAGGAGAGGACCAGCATGACACTAGGAGAAAGACAGGAGAGGACCAGGAAAACGCTTTGATGAGGATTTTGCATTATAGTCTCATGCCTAGTACTGGTCTCCACACTGCCCCCTTATGATCAGTTTGAGTACTTCCTTTTGTTGTGTATGAATCCACACATGGTCCGAGTTTGTGGGGAAAGTTTGGAGATTTTTGTGTATCCAGCCCCTAATGCTAAGAGAGAGACCAGAGAGAGAGAGAGAGACCAGAGAGAGAGAGACCAGAGAGAGACCAGAGAGAGAGAGAGACCAGAGAGAGAGACCAGAGAGAGAGACCAGAGAGAGAGAGAGAGACCAGAGAGAGAGAGAGAGACCAGAGAGAGAGACCAGAGAGAGAGACCAGAGAGAGAGAGTCCAGAGAGTCCAGAGAGAGAGCGTGAGAGTCCAGAGAGAGGGACTAGAGAGAAACCAGAGAGATGGAGAGACCAGAGAGAGAGAGACGGACCAGATGGCTTCAGGCTCTCTCCTCGTCTTTCCTCATTGCTTCTACTCTTCCTCTCTCCTCTTCTTCACTCTCACTCACTCCTCACTGCTGTTTCTTACATCTGGCTCAGATGAAAAAGGTTAAAAAACTACACATCAGTCACTCTCTCTATCTCTCTCTCTGTCTTTCTCACTGGTCTCTCTCTCTGTCTCTCTCTCTGTCTCTCTCTCTGGTCTCTCTCTGTGTCTCGCTCTCTGTGTCTCTCTGTCTTTCTCACTGGTCTCTCTCTCTCTGTCTCTCTCTCACTGGTCGCTCTCTGTGTCTCTCTCTCTCTGGTCTCTCTCTCTCTGGTCTCTCTCTGTGTCTCGCTCTCTGTGTCTATCTGTACCCTCTCTCTGGTCTCTCCCTCTGGTTGCTCTCTGGTCGCTCTCTGTCTCTCTAGAGTAGAGTAGAGTAGAGTAGAGTAGAGTAGAGTAGAGTAGAGTAGAGTAGAGTAGAGTAGAGTAGAGTAGAGTAGAGTAGAGTAGAGTAGAGTAGAGTAGAGTAGAACGGGGCTAAACTCTCACTAGGTCAGAGCAGTGACAGTAGTTGGTGTTCCCTCGGCTTTGACACCGGTGGCCTATAAATACTCCTCACATACTCTGCTTCCCCTCCCCCACCCTCCCCTCGTCCCTCTCCTCCATCTCCTCCCTCTCCTCCATCTCCTGCCTCTCCTCCCTCTCCTCCCTCTCCTCCCTCTCCTCCCTCTCCTCCCTCTCCTCCCTATCCTCCCTCTCCTCCCTCTCCTCCATCTCCTCCCTCTCCTCCCTCTCCTTTCTCTCCTCCCTCTCCTTCCTATCCTTCCTCTCCTCCCTCTCCTTCCTCTCCTTCCTCGCCTCCATCTCCTCCCTCTCCTCCCTCGCCTCCCTCTCCTCCCTCTCCTCCCTCTCCTTCCTCGCCTCCCTCTCCTTCCTCGCCTCCCTCTCCTCCCTCTCCTCCCTCTCCTCCCTCTCCTCCCTATCCTCCCTCTCCTCCCTCTCCTCCATCTCCTCCCTCTCCTCCCTCTCCTTTCTCTCCTCCCTCTCCTTCCTATCCTTCCTCTCCTCCCTCTCCTTCCTCTCCTTCCTCGCCTCCATCTCCTCCCTCTCCTCCCTCGCCTCCCTCTCCTCCCTCGCCTCCCTCTCCTCCCTCTCCTCCCTCTCCTTCCTCGCCTCCCTCTCCTTCCTCGCCTCCCTCTTCTCCCTCTCCTCCCTCTCCTCCCTCTCCTCCCTCTCCTTCCTCTCCTCCCTCCCCTTCCTCTCCTCCCTCTCCTCCCTCTCCTCCCTCTCCTCCCTCTCCTCCCTCTCCTCCCTCTCCTTCCTCTCCTCCCTCCCCTCCCTCTCCTCCCTCTCCTCCCTCTCCTCCCTCTCCTCCCCAACCACTGTTTTATTCCCTCACACACTTCCACAGAGATATTCCCACTCAGAGGCATTCCGTCTCCGGGCTGAGACATGGGAATGAATGTGTTGAAATTGGGGGTAAACAGAGAGATTTTGGGTGTGATGGATTCTCCAGGGGCCCGGAAATACTCCCACAGCTGATTGTTCTGTGCCGGCAGGAGGCAACAGCCGTGTGTGTTTTCAGTTCTACCCCAATAGACTTACGTAAGTCAGGTAAGGTAATTCCCAGGGTAGAGACCAGGTCCTGCCATGACTGCACCGGGGCCACGATGCTAAAGCTACCACAGAGACACCGGGGCCACGATGCTAAAGCTACCACAGAGACACCGTGACCACGACGCTAAAGCTACCACAGAGACACTGGGCAGTTACGGTCATTCAATAACAGTAGATTATGGCTTTTTATACTGATAAAGAAGTTACTGGTTTAGACAGCTCACGTGACAAGCCCTATTGTCACGGTCGAGAGATAGAGAGATAGCGAGAGAGACAAATGAACCGGCATAGACAGACATATACAGTGTATAGAGAGAGAAAGAAAGAAAGAGAAAGAGAGAGTGCTAGAGAAAATAATTCAATAATTGTATTGCTTTTTATACTAATAACATCTTAATTATGAGAGAAAATAGTTTAGACAGCTCAATTGGCAGGTCCTATTGTCTTTAGATAGAGACAGACACACACAGAGAGAGAGATAGATAGATAGATAGATAGATAGATAGATAGATAGATAGATAGATAGATAGATAGATAGATAGATAGATAGATAGATAGATAGATAGATAGATAGATAGATAGATAGATAGATAGATGAGAAGATACAGATAGAGAGGTACAGATAGTTCCAATCCAACAATAAGAGTATTCCCAGTGTGTGTCAAACTAATAACACCATCAACAGTGAGAGACACCATGTGTAACCAGCTCAGGTGGAACATCCTTTTGTCTCCGCACTGTCTTTGTTCAACGTCAACACAAAAGACGTCTTCGCTCATCCACACGGAGCCAACACATCCCCAACAGCAGTGATGTCACATGGTTCTTCACCGAGAGCTCTCCAGTGACCGAACCATTCCCAAAAGCCACGTCACCAGCAACAAGTACAAGTCCCTACTCCTGACCACGATACTTGTAATGACACCAGGACGCCTCACATCTGGTGTTATTATCTGGTGTCGGGTATGTGCTGCTGCTGGTGCTGCTGCTGCTGCTGCTGCTGGTGTTGCTGGTATAGATGGGACCAGGAGACAGATATGGTGCTAGAGGGGCTGGTGTGATGTATGGTTAAACTATATGGGAGAAATGTCCAACGTAATTCTAGTATAACTCCTCAAACTTCTTATCTGTGATCTCCCAAGAGACAATCAAGCCTGGTCCTCGCCATCCAACGCGTCTCACATCTGCTCTCTCTCTCTCTCTCTCTCTCTCTCTCTCTCTCCCTCTCTCTACATATATGTATCTACAGCTTATAAGAAAACAACAAAATCACATCCATTACCAGGCCTGTGTAGCCGTAGAAACAGCCGTACCGAGCTGTCACACTGCGGTCTACGACGTCTTAGAGAGAGAGAGAGAGAGAGAAAGAGAGAGAGAGAGAGAATGAGAATGAGAGAGAGAGAGAGAATGAGAGAAAGAGAGAGAGAGAAGGCTGTGTGGAGGATTTCAGCACCACGACAAAGAGAACAGCTCCAGATAGACTCACCTCCCAACGCGCACAAACACACGCAGCCCAGGACCAGGCTCGGGACCAGGCTCGGGACCACCGGGCTCGGGACCAGGCTGGGCACCATCGGCCTGGCTGGGTGGCTCGTTCCCCGGGCAGACCGCATCTTTCGCCCCCCGGGCTGGCTGCGGTTCTCTGAGACGCTCGGCTGCTCTACATTTCTCCAGCAGGGCTCCGTCTCTTTCTCTCTCTCTTTTCTTTCTGTTTTTTTTTTTTTTTTCCTGCACGAGACCAGCTGTTTGTGCGTGACGTAGCGGAGGCGACGTCCTGATTTGACAAGAGCAATATGGAGCTGAGGGCTCATTGGACGGACGTGAGTGTCAGTCTGTACGCAGTGCGCACCGGGGATGCAGCAGCAGGAGCAGAGGCAGCAGTAGCAGCAGGAGGAGCAGGAGCAGCAGGAGCAGAGGCAGCAGTAGCAGCAGGAGGAGCAGGAGCAGCAGGAGCAGAGGCAGCAGTAGCAGGAGCAGCAGCAGCAGGAGCAGGAGCAGCAGGAGCAGAGGCAGCAGTAGCAGCAGGAGGAGCAGGAGCAGCAGGAGCAGAGGCAGCAGTAGCAGGAGCAGCAGCAGCAGCAGGAGCAGCAGCAGTAGGAGCAGCAGGAGCAGCAGCAGTAGCAGGAGCAGCAGCAGTAGCAGGAGCAGCAGCAGTAGGAGCAGCAGGAGCAGAGGCAGCAGTAGCAGCAGCAGGAGCAGCAGCAGCAGGAGTAATAGGAGCAGGAACAGGACACATTTTGCAAAATCTGTTACGACATTGCTTTTCATCAGAAACAAACCAAAATGTAGGAGCAGCAGCAGGAGCAGCAGGAGCAGCAGGAGCAGCAGCAGCAGGAGGAGCAGCAGGAGCAGGAACAGGACACATTTTGCAAAATCTGTTACGACATTGCTTTTCATCAGAAACAAACCAAAATGTAGGAGCAGCAGCAGGAGCAGCAGCAGCAGGAGGAGCAGCAGGAGCAGGAACAGCAGGAGCAGCAGGAGCAGTAGCAGCAGGAGGAGCAGTAGGGGCAAGAACAGCAGCAGTAGGAGCAGTAGCAGCAGGAGCAGCAGCCGTAGGTGCAGTAGGAGCAGCAGGACACATTGTGAAAAATCTTTTACGACATTGCTTTTCATCAGAAACAAACCAAATGGCGTTTTTAAAATATCTATAACCACGCGGCTTCCTGTGGCTCAGAGAATAGACTGGCTCTGTAGTACATATGTGACATGTTAGTGCCATATGAAGCAACTCGGACTCTGAGGAGCACAGGGACTGCTCTCCTGCTGGGACTCAGAGGAGCACAGGGACTGCTCTCCTGCTGGGACTCTGAGGAGCACAGGGACTGGCCTCCTGCTGGTCCCAGAGTCAGAACTAAACATGAGAAGACTGCTTTTAAGATTCAAGCAGCTAAAATCAGATTTTTAATGTACTGTGATGATTTAGGATTTTAACACTATCTTGTTTTGTTCAGCACTTTGAGTTGCCTTGTGTATAAAGTGCGCTATACAAAAAAACTTGCCTTGTCCAGATAGAATGAATATATAAAAATATAGTCAGGATATAATTATGTACAATAAAAAAGTGTTCATAGAAGAAAGAGTGGTAGTGCAGGCCGTTTTCAGTTAGTGACTTGAAGGTACTCATTGTACAGTCTGACAGTGGTTTCCGTTGGTGGTCAGTCGGAGTCGTGAGCAGCGATGGATCAGGTTCGTTTGAAAACATAAAACACGTCACACACTGCAGATCATTATTTGCTCCTGGAGCCAATAACGACCTCAGCGCTCGGGGGAATGTGGGGAAGTATGGACCAGCGTTTCTCAACCAGAGGTGCGGGGACTCTGCAGATGATGGGCAGGATACGGAAACATGTAGAGTATATGTGATTAGGTTTTGGAAAGCTGCACCAAACTGGAAAGAGGACTCAGACACGCTGATGTGACTTGGACTCATTGGTTCTGGTTCACATCAAGTGTCAGTCTAGTCCAGGGGAGTCCGACCGGTCCTCAAAGGGCGGGTGTGGCTGCAGGTTTTCACTCCACCAAACCAGACTCCGCCCACTTCTTCAGGTGAGTCCAAACAGAAGCTGAACCTGAAGACCTGAGGAAATGCCTGGTGCTCCTGCTGAGATGGAATGAAAACCTGCTGCTACACTAGTCCTTGAAACCGGTTTTAATATGATTAATTATTCATTGTACAATATAATAAAGAAGAAAAAACATTGAAATACATGGATGATTCAAACAGAAGGGGGTACAGGTCAAACGCATATATCTGTCCGAGCCGCTTCATCGAGCAGAGAACGAGCCTCAATCACAGCAAACGGAACGGACATAATGAACCGTTAAAGTCCCAGCGTTTGAACCGAAATGTGGCCGATTCTGTGCCAAGTCAATAGAATCTGGGTCTACAGTCTCAGTCCTGGATCTACAGCCTCAGTCCTGGATCTACAGCCTCAGTCCTGGGTCTACAGCCTCAGTCCTGGATCTACAGTCTCAGTCCTGGATCTACAGCCTCAGTCCTGGATCTACAGCCTCAGTCCTGGGTCTACAGCCTCAGTCCTGGATCTACAGCCTCAGTCCTGGATCTACAGCCTCAGTCCTGGGTCTACAGCCTCAGTCCTGGGTCTACAGCCTCAGTCCTGGATCTACAGCCTCAGTCCTGGGTCTACAGCCTCAGTCCTGGATCTACAGCCTCAGTCCTGGATCTACAGACTCGGTCCTGGGTCTCCTATGCACCAATGTCTCCCATGTTATTGTTATTATCACATTTAGGCCTACACACTAACAGATTGAACTGAATCGCTGCTGCTGATAAAAACTGCCCGACTCTCGCACGAGTGAAAAACATTTTGCTTCAGAACGGGTCGATGTTCTTTATGTGACACTGGATCAATGTGTCCGTCGATTACCGTTATTTTTATTGTGCGGATGAAGCGGTGGACGGACGAGTCGGAACCAACGCCTTTGATTTTACCTCTGCCTTTGAGACTGATCCATCACACATTTACCATCAGCAGAAAGACCAGTGAGAGAGTGCAGAGTGAAACCCGTGAGAGAGACCAGAGAAAGGGCACCGAGAGAAACCAGAGAGACCAAAGACCAGAAAGAGAGTGCAGAGAGACAAGAGAGAGCGCGCAGAGAATCAGAATCATTTTTATTGCCACGTAAGTAACAGGAGGTCACACACTTGGAAATTGCTTTGGTTCAGTGCAACAGTCAGAAAGAGAGATTAAACACTTCTACGGAATAAATTTAAAATAAAAATTAACAGAGTTCCAATTACTATAAACAATATACAAGTGTTCAAGAGTCCAACAGCAGAGGGGAAGAAACTGTTCTTGTGGCGGGAGGTTCTAGTCCTGATGGACCGCAGTCTCCTGCCTGAGGGGTCCTGCAGCGATGGAAGGCTGCGGCCGATCACTTCCTCTGAAGAGCGCACGATGCACTGTAGTCTCTGTTTGTCCCTGACTGTGGCTCCAGCGAACCACACGGGGATGGAGGAGGTGATGGAGGAGGTGATGGAGGAGGTGATGGAGGAGGTGATGGAGGTGGTGATGGAGGAGGTGATGGAGGAGGTGATGGAGGAGGTGATGAAGGAGGTGATGGCCGTGTAGAACTGCACCAACATCTGTGCAGGCAGCTTGGCTTTCCTGAGCTGCCGCAGGAAGTACATCCTCTGCTGGGCCTTCTTGATGAGGAGCTGATGGTCGGCTCCCACTTGAGGTCCTGGTGATGGTGGTGCCCAGGAAACGATAGGACTCCACAGAGGTGATGGGGGAGTCCATCACGGAGGGTGGGGGCGACAGTGCTCTTTCTGAAGTCCACAATCATCTCCACTGTCTTCTGGGCGTTCAGCTCCAGGTTGTTACCACTGCACCAGGACACCAGCCGGTCCACCTCCCTCCTGTAGGAGACACCAGGATACCAGCCGGTCCACCTCCCTCCTGTAGGCGGACTCACCGTTGTTGGAGATGAGTCCAATGAGGGTGGTGTCGTCCGCGAACTTGATCAGCTTCACGGAGTTGTGGCTGGAGGTGCAGTGGTTGGTGTACAGGGAGAAGAGCAGGGGAGAAAGAACACAGCCTTGTGGGGCACCTGGACATCCTACAGTCCAGGTGCTGTAGGATGTGGTGGAGGGCCAGGTTAATGGCGTCGTCTACAGATCTGTTGGCTCTGTAGGCGAACTGCAGGGGGTCCAGGAGGGTGGAGGTGAAGGACTTGAGATGGGAGAGAACCAGGCGTTCAAATGACTTCATGACGACAGACGTAAGTGCTACAGGTCTGTAGTCGTTGAGTCCTGTGATCCTGGGCTTCTTCGGGACGGGGACAATGATGGAGGATTTGAAGCAGGCCGGGACATGGCAGGACTGCAGAGAGGTGTTGAAAATGTCAGTGAACACAGGAGTAAGCTCACTGGCGCAGTGTCTCAGAGTGGCCGGAGACACGTGGTCCGGGCCAGGAGCTTTGCGGGGGTGCAGCCTCAAGAAGAGTTGTTTAGTCTCTTTAGAGGCTATTGTTAGGCTGGGGGCAGGGCTGATGGGTGGGTCGTTAGAGTAGTGGGGGGACAGAAAAATAAGTTCAGTTCGTCAGCTAGCTTGTGGTCGTCAGCACAGGGGGGGGCTTTGGGTTTGTAGTTGGTGATCTCCCGTAGGCCCCTCCAGACAGAAGCAGTATCGTTATTACCAAACTGCTCCTGTAGTCGTTCTCTGTGCCGGGACTTGGCTGCTTTCAGTTCTTTCCTGAACTGATATTTAGCTGCTTTGTAGCCGCTGCGGTCCCCCTCCCTGAAAGCAGACTCCTTTGCTTTCCTGAGCTGCCGGAGTTTAGCAGTGAACCAGGGTTTGTCATTGTTATAGATGACCCTGGTCCTTGTTGGAATGATGCTATCCTCACAGAAGTGAATGTATGACGTCACAGTGTCCGTGTATTCATCCAAACTGTCTGTGGCAGCTCTGAAAAGGTCCCAGTCTGTAGATTCCATGCATGCGCACAGCTCTTCCACAGCTTCATCAGACCACACTTTGGAGCTCCTCACTGCAGGTTTCGAGAGCTCTAGTCTCTTTTAGAGAGAGACCAGTGAGAGAGTGCAGAGAGAGAGACCAGAGAAAGCTGCAACTTTCCGAGGCCTGTAACAGGAAGATCCCAGAGCACAGTTTTTACACATGCTACAGGTCTTCAGTTCAACATTTGGACGTTTGTATTAAAACAAAATAACACACAAGTTGTAAAGTCATATTTTAATGTTTTCGCCAATTCCAAATTCTAAAAACGCTATACATGAAATTTACATTAGAGAAACCGTGAAGGCACAAGAGCATGTAATAATCCAGACCAGAGAGAGAGGAGAGAGAGACCAGAGAGGGACCAGAGAGAGAGACCAGAGAGAGACCAGAGAGAGACCAGAGAGAGACCAGAGAGAGACCAGAGAGAGACCAGAGAGAGACCAGAGAGAGAGACCAGAGAGGGACCAGAGAGAGAGACCAGAGAGACCAGAGAGGGACCAGAGAGAGAGACCAGAGAGACCAGAGAGAGACCAGAGAGAGACCAGAGAGAGACCAGAGAGAGACCAGAGAGAGAGACCAGAGAGAGACCAGAGAGACCAGAGAGGGACCAGAGAGGGACCAGAGAGGGACCAGAGAGAGAGACCAGAGAGACCAGAGAGGGACCAGAGAGGGACCAGAGAGAGGGACCAGAGAGAGAGACCAGAGAGAGACCAGAGAGAGAGACCAGAGAGACCAGAGAGGGACCAGAGAGAGACCAGAGAGACCAGAGAGGGACCAGAGAGGGACCAGAGAGAGGGACCAGAGAGAGAGACCAGAGAGAGAGACCAGAGAGAGACCAGAGAGAGACCCGAGAGAGACCCAAGAGACCAGAGAGAGACCAGAGACAGTCCGGTTACATCCTGAAGACCCCGAACTGCGTCTTGCTTCTGGGAGCGTTGAGTGCGGCGCTGAGGCTGAGGCCGAGCACCAGGCGGGTGTCGGCCGGGTCGATGATCCCGTCGTCCCAGAGCCTGCACGAGAACGAGCCACCGCATTAGTCTGATTCACACCAGGCTCCAGATCGCATGCTCCGGAGGGACGGGCTAATCAGAGGCGTGTGTGTTCAAGGTCACAGCGACAGGCGGAGAGATTTGTGTGATTTTAATGTTTTGATATTAATAATTGTGTGTGTGTGCGTGTGCGTAGGTGTGTGTGTGATAAGATCTTTCTTTCTAAAAATTGGAACATGCGGGTTATAATCAGGTGTGGCTTAGAGTCTGGAAAATATGGTTATCGTTTGGGATGGTTTCTGAATTCCTTTTATTTGAACAGAGGTACTAGTTTCAGAACCCCAACACATGGATCCTTGGACCACGGTCTCACCTGGCGCTGGAGTAGTACGGACTTCCCTCTTCTTCAAAGCGCCGCACGATTGGCTCCTTCATGGCGGCTTCCTGTTCAGCCGTGAACTGAGGAGAGACACCCAGAAGAGTTTTACATATAAATCAAAAGAAGCCAGAGAGAGGGGGAGGCTAACTCTGTCCATGAGCACTTCCCTATTGGGTTCACTGAGCTAGCGTGTTAGCATTGTCCGTCTCCGTACAGTCTACGCTACGGACATGACCAAGTCTTAAAGAGACAGTAACTTAGTAATTCGTATCTATATGTCATCCATTCACTCACTCATTACAGTCAGACCTATTGTGCATGTTTTTAGTGGTAGGGGAAACCGGAGCACCCAGAGGAAACCTACGCAGACACGGGGAGAACAATAATGAAAATATGAGATAATAAATGCTTGAATCTAGTTTTTTTTTTATCAGACTAGTCCAAAGGGTTTTGACTGGTTTTGCACTTTAGCTAGGTCAGAGCTGAAGTTGGCTGGATGTTGGCTGGATGTTGCCTGTCCGTTCATGGGGGCGGATCCCTCTTATTTTCGCACACGTAGTTCTGGTTTAAGTTTAAAGTCATGGTCTGTATCACTCCGCCAAAGTTGTTGCCATAGTAACTAACAGCTGGATGAAATAAACTGTCAATCAGGAGACATTCAAGGGGAATTTTAACATTTTTGGACACAACAGAACATTTGAGGAATGGGAAGAAGAGGAGAACAAAGAAGAAGAACGACAAAAGCAACGGGTCTGTGTAAATGTTAATGTTTTGTCTGCGTGTTAATAAAAGTAGTTCCCATTTCTCTTTACAACGGTTGCTAAGGCAAAAGTTTTGTTTTCAGACGTGTCAAAAAAATCTTTATATTTAAGATAAGAGACTTTATCGATCTCACACAGGAGAAATGTACATGTCACATCTTAAAAGGTGCAGTTAGCGATGTTTATAGCTTAGCCATAGCACCAACTGGAAACCTTAAGTGCAAGAGAGTGAGAGGGTGAGAGTGGGCGAGGGAAAGAGAGGGTGAGAGTGGGTGAGGGTGAGAGAGTGGGAGAGGGTGAGAGTGGGAGAGGGTGAGAGTGGGAGAGTGAGAGGGTGAGAGAGTGGGCGAGGGAAAGAGGGTGAGAGAGTGAGAGGGTGAGAGAGTGGGCGAGGGAAAGAGAGGGTGAGAGAGGTGGGCGAGTGGGAGAGGGTGAGAGAGTGGGAGAGGGTGAGAGAGGGTGAGAGAGTGAGAGAGTGGGAGAGGTGAGATAGTGGGAGAGTGGGAGAGGGTGAGAGAGTGAGAGAGTGGGAGAGAGTGAGAGAGTGAGAGGGGATGAGAGAGTGAGAGAGTGGGAGGGGGTGAGAGAGTGGGAGAGGGTGAGAGAGAGAGAGTGGGAGAGAGTGAGAGGGTGAGAGAGTGGGAGAGGGTGAGAGAGTGGGAGAGGGTGAGAGAGTGGGAGAGTGGGAGAGGGTGAGAGAGAGGGTGAGAGGGTGAGAGAGTGGGAGAGTGTGAGAGAGTGGGAGAGGGTGAGAGAGTGGGAGAGGGTGAGAGAGGGTGAGAGAGTGGGAGAGTGGGAGAGGGTGAGCGAGAGGGAGAGGGTGAGAGAGTGGGAGAGTGTGAGAGAGTGGGAGAGGGTGAGAGGGTGAGAGAGTGGGAGAGGGTGAGAGAGTGGGAGAGGGTGAGAGAGTGGGAGAGGGTGAGAGAGTGGGAGAGGGTGAGAGAGTGAGAGAGTGGGAGAGGGTGAGAGAGTGGGAGAGTGAGAGAGTGGGAGAGTGGGAGAGTGAGAGAGTGGGAGAGTGGGAGAGTGAGAGAGTGAGAGTGGGAGAGTGAGAGTGGGAGAGTGGGAGAGTGAGGGAGTGAGAGAGTGAGAGAGTGGGAGAGGGTGAGAGAGTGGGAGAGTGGGAGAGTGAGGGAGTGAGATGGAGAGAGAGAAATAGAAAGGGTGAGAGGGTGAGAGAGAGAGAACCAGAGAGAGACAGAGGGCTGAGAGAGTGAGAGAAAGGATGAGAGTGAGAGGGTGAAAGAAAGATAGAAATTGTGCGAGAAAGAGATTGAGAGAGAGGAAGAGTGAGGAAGAGTGAGGGAGAGTGAGGGAGAGTGAGCGAAAGAGGCAGAGGCAGAGAGAGAGATAGAAAGAGGCAGAGAGAGAGATAGAAAGAGGCAGAGAGAGAGAGGGAGTGAGAGAGAGTGAGATCACCTCCTTCCCCTCTCGCGCTCGCTGGTCCTTGGTGATAGTAGCCAGCACCGTGGCGGCCTGCTCTCCGCCCATCACCGAGATGCGAGAGTTTGGCCACATGTACAGGAAGCGAGGGCTGCGCAGGAGAGAGAGACAGATTCAGGTTTACGTCGTTTCTGACCCGTGTTGAAATGCTGTGCGTCCACTCGGGCTAACGGTGGGAAAGGTAGGCGTGTTTTTGGACCAGGTTTGGCGTTTCACCAAAGAGGGAAGACAGGGGCGTGTCAAAATAAAAGGGTCAGAACGCACTTCCATTTATTGAGAGGTGGTATTTGGAAGGACTGGCCTCCTGCTGGGACTCTGAGGAGCACAGGGACTGGACTCCTGCTGGGACTCTGAGGAGCACAGGGACTGGCCTCCTGCTGGGACTCTGAGGAGCACAGGGACTGGCCTCCTGCTGGGACTCTGAGGAGCACAGGGACTGGCCTCCTGCTGGGACTCTGAGGAGCACAGGGACTGGCCTCCTGCTGGGACTCTGAGGAGCACAGGGACTGGCCTCCTGCTAGTCCCAGAGTCAGTACTAAACATGAGGCAGCAGCATTTCAGATTTTTACAGCTAAAATCAGTCTCCCTGAAAATGTCAGACAGGTTTTATTGCGGTCTAAATCACTGCTATATTTTTGGTCAAATGACTACGTGACGAGGCGGGTTAAATGCAGAACTGTTTTGACACACCAGCCCACGCTCAAAGTGTCAGAAAAAGTCAATCCGGGGTTTTTTTGCTCAGTGGGAATGCCCCTGATTTTTAAGGTGGACTGAGATCCACCTTAAAAATCCAACGCAAATCTTACCAACATTTTATTATTATTATTATTATTCGATAGTCACACAAGATGTTGGTTTCCCTTGTAGACCCATGTACCTGTAGGCTCTTCCACACATGCCGTAGTTCCCCGCTCCGTAAGAACCTCCGATGATGACTGTGATCTTGGGAACGCTGGCACAGGCCACGGCCGTCACCATCTTAGCTCCGTCTTTGGCGATGCCCCCCGCCTCGTACTCTCTGCCCACCATGAAGCCTGCGTAGACAGAGGAAGTACACACAGTGGAGAGAATCCATGAGTAGATGCAATAAGTACTGGGCCATGTTAGCTTAGACATGTTACGTTTTTACAATATCCGATTAGACAAAAAGAGTTCTAACATCTAAAATTAAGTGTGCCAGGTGTGTATACGCTGAAAATGACTGGATGAAAATAATAAAAATGCATTGGTTTTATACAGAACTTTTTAAAGACTACTATAGCCACAGCTGCCCTGGGGCACACTGACAGAAGCAAGGCAACCAGTCTGTGCCGTCAGCCCCTCCCACCACCACCACTCACACACACACCAGACTCATTCTAATGTGGGGGAAGTGTCTTGCCAAAGGACACAGCCACACTTAGGCACTTTACAGCTGCCCCACTGTGGCACCTGCTGTTCCCAGAGGTCTCCCATAACAGCACTAACCAGGCCCTGCCCTGCTTAGCTTCAGAGGTCTGATGGGATCTGGCTTTCACATGCAACTAGTGCCTCAAAGAAGACAAAGTAATAAATAACAATTAAAGTTGGGATACCTAACCTCACTTTTTTTTACATTAACAATACATGTTGCTTGTTCCGACAGAAATAATCTCTTTAAAGTAAAATATAAAATAAAATTAGAGCACAACCTCATTACCCTGTTGCATACTTAAAAATCCCTGTGAGTCACTATTTGACCCTTTGGGCTGGTAGCTGACTGAACCTCTTTTCATTTCAGTCCGAAAAATCTGATCTAAAGACTTTCCATGTGGCACAACCGTTGGTCCGGCAGCTTCCATCTCGCATCCGTCCGAATGTTGACCTAATTCTAAATAACAGACGGATACAAAGCCAAACCTCTGCCATATTCTTTACAGAAAACGTTGAAAGTGAGGAGCGACCTGTGATGTTCTGGAGGAAGATCAGGGGGATGTTCCGCTGGCAGCAGAGCTCGATGAAATGAGTTCCCTGCGAAAAAACAAAAATAAGATGAGTTTTGACTGAAGAGAGACAAGAAACTGTGTCACGTATCAGGGTATTGCAGCTCAGCCGTTAGCTCAGCAGCCGTTAGCTCAGCAGCCGTTAGCTCAGCAGCCGTTAGCTCAGCAGCCGTTAGCTCAGCAGCCGTTAGCTCAGCAGCCGTTAGCTCAGCAGCCGTTAGCTCAGCAGCCGTTAGCTCAGCAGCCGTTAGCTCAGCAGCCGTTAGCTCAGCAGCCGTTAGCTCAGCCGTTAGCTCAGCCGTTAGCTCAGCCGTTAGCTCAGCCGTTAGCTCAGCCGTTAGCTTCCGTGACTCATTCGGGATTTTACAAAACAGTTGAATTCACAAACACAGATCAGAGAATCAAAAAGTACAAGACTGAGGCTGTAGACCCAGGACTGAGGCTGTAGACCCAGGACTGAGGCTGTAGACCCAGGACTGAGGCTGTAGACCCAGGACTGAGGCTGTAGACCCAGGACTGAGGCTGTAGACCCAGGACTGAGGCTGTAGACCCAGGACTGAGGCTGTAGACCCAGGACTGAGGCTGTAGATCCAGGACTGAGGCTGTACATCCAGGACTGAGGCTGTAGACCCAGGACTGAGGCTGTACATCCAGGACTGGGGCTGTACATCCAGGACTGAGGCTGTAGATCCAGGACTGAGGCTGTACATCCAGGACTGAAGCGGCTATAAAGTCCTGGTTTCATATCAGATGCTACTACCCCAAACCATGCTTTAAAAAAATCCCGGCGAGAATCGTGGGCGGTTTGTAAGCGTCTGACCTTCTTGGCTTCGGTTTTCTCACAGATAAAACTCACCTTTTTGGCCGACTCTGAAAACAAGACTCCGTTGTTGCCAATGATGCCGACAGGATATCCAAAAACTCTGGCAAAGCCTGTCGAGCAGATTCACAGTCAGGTAAAAATATGTAAATAAATAAAATTCTCTATTACTGGGGCATATGACGAGTTAGTGCCAAATGAACCAAATCTAACTCTGACTGTTTCTTTCTTTCTTGTTTTCGTCAGCACTTTTAGTTTCCTTGTGTTTGAGCTGTGCTATACATATAAACTTGCCTTTTCTCATCACATCAATTAACTGATGGTTTTACCTGTGACCAGAGTGTCTCCATAGAACGCTTTGAACTCATCGAATTTGCTGCCGTCCACGACTCGGGCGATGACCTGCAAAGAAAGATGGACCACATGAAAACCTGCCTCTTTAAGATCTACAGCCTCAGTCAGACCAGAGAGAAACCAGAGAGAGAGCAGAGAGAAACCAGAGAGAAACCAGAGAGAAACCAGAGAGAAACCAGAGAGAGACCAGAGAGAGACCAATGAGAGAGACCAGAGAGAGACCAGAGAGGGACCAGAGAGAGACCAGAGAGAGAGCAGAGAGAGACCAGAGAGAAACCAATGAGAGAGACCAGAGAGAGACCAATGAGAGAGACCAGAGAGAGACCAGAGAGAGACCAATAAGAGAGACCAGAGAGAGACCAACAAGAGAGACCAGAGAGAGACCAGTGAGAGAGACCAGAGAGAGACCAGAGAGAGACCAATGAGAGAGACCAGAGAGAGACCAGAGAGAGACCAATGAGAGAGACCAGAGAGAGATCAATGAGAGAGACCAGAGAGAGACCAACAAGAGAGACCAGAGAGAGACCAACAAGAGAGACCAGTGAGAGAGACCAGAGAGAGACCAACAAGAGAGACCAGAGAGAGACCAACAAGAAAGACCAGAGAGAGACCAGAGAGAGACCAGAGAGAGACCAACAAGAGAGACCAGAGAGAGACCAGAGAGAGACCAACAAGAGAGACCAGAGAGAGACCAGAGAGAGAGCAGAGACCAGAGAGACAGACCAGAGAGAGACCAGTGAGACACCTCCCCAGAGAGGCGTCCAGGAGGCCTACCAAACAGACGCCCGAGCCACCTCCCCTCGCTCCTTTCTACGTGGAGAAGCAGCGGCTCTACTCCGAGCTCCTCACCCCATCCCTCAGTGACACACACATACATAAGTGAATGTTGTACCTCTCTGACGTCAAAGTTGCGTTTTAAGTTTGCTCCCACGATGCCGTAGAGTTCGTCTGAGGGGAACAGAGGAGCCTCAGTCGCTTCTGTGGTCACCTGAAAGAAGCAACACAACATGACCCACAAACCCACAACCCACAGAGTCCAACAGTGACCCCCAGGGCTCTTTCTTACAAGTGTACACAGGATCTGATTTGTGCCATGTCCCGGCTCTTTTGGAGAAAACAAAATGTATTTAATAGAAGTTTTTTCATTTTTTGTGAGATATGAACTGGAGATAAGAAAGTCTCTGTAGGAGAGCACAGGGACTGGCCTTCTGCCGGGACTCTGAGGAGCACAGGGACTGGCCTCCTGCTGGGACTCTGAGGAGCACAGGGACTGGCCTCCTGCCGGGACTCTGAGGAGCACAGGGACTGGCCTCCTGCTGGTCCCAGAGTCAGGACTAAACATGAAGAGTCAGCATGTCAGATGTATACTGCTAAAACCTGGAACAGTCTTCATGAAAACGTGAGACAGGCTTCTTCTCTGACAATCTTCAAATCCAGGTTGAAAACAGTTCTGTTTTGCTGCAACAACTGAAGGATTTTATCTTTAATCTTTCTAATGCTGTGATTATTTATGTCCAGTCCTTGGAGTTTCCTCGAGTATGAACTTTAATTTCATTTCATTTCATTTCATTTTCAACCCCTTTATTAGTCCATTTCTGGGTCGGGGGGGTGGCAATGAGAGCTGCCACCCAACGCTCATAGCACCAGTCCCTCACTGATCCTCTGCAGGGGGTGAGTCCACAGGAAGATGGCTGCTCCATCAGTTGTGATACAGCCTTGATCTTTCAGCGGGGGCTTCAGGCAACGTGGGGTTAAGTGTCTTGCCCAAGGACACAACGACAGCAGTCATCAGTGGGAGCAGTTGGAGTAGGTCCCATGGTGGGATTCGAACTCACGACCTCCAGGCCCAAAGGCCAATGCTCTACCAACTGAGCTACTGTCGCCCCACAGTTCGAGTATGAACTGTGCTATATAAATAACCTCTATATAATGTCAAACCTGGACGTTCTTCATGTAGTTGAGATTTCTGACAGATTTTCTTGCCAGATGCAGCGCGTGGTTGTCGTCTAAAGCGTAGTGGTCGGTTACGCCTGATTTTCTACAACCAAAGACCAAGAATTAGAATCATTTTGCTAAGTGTTTAAAAAAAAAAATCTTGAAAAAAAAAAAAAAAACGACAGAGCGAGATTCCAAAGTCTCGTCACCTGCAGTGGAGATCGGCCCCTCCCAGATCCTCCGCCGACACCGTCTCTCCGGTCGCAGCTTTTACCTGAAAATAGAAATAATGTGTTTGTCTAGAAGTACTTTTCAACTCATGATCCCAGAGTGAGAATCGTAAACTCTGCAAAGTGCTGTTGGACTTTGCAAATTATTCTTGACTTTCACATGTTGATTCTTGTCACCATCAAATAAATGAATGACTGAATTAGGGCTGGGCGATATGGCTGAAAACTATATCACAATAACGTGATTCATATCGGTCGATAACGATAATTATTGATTGTTTATTTTGTTGTTTTTTACCTAAATCAATACATTTGTCGTGTCGGCAAACACTGTTTACAGTCACAGAGGAAAGAGAACTCAGGCTGGAGGCATATGTTCAAAAGCACAGTGTCCCCCATTGTTAGTCCTGGTTTAGTCCTGCTTTGGTCCTGCTTTGGTCCTGGTTTGGTCCTGGTTTGGTCCTGGTTTGGTCCTGGTTTGGTCCTGGTTTGGTCCTGGTTTGGTCCTGGTTTGGTCCTGGTTTGGTCCTGGTTTGGTCCTGGTTTGGTCCTGGTTTAGTCCTGGTTTAGTCCTGGTTTAGTCCTGGTTTGGTCCTGGTTTAGTCCTGCTGTAGTCCTGCTGTAGTCCTGCTGTAGTCCTGCTGTAGTCCTGCTTTAGTCCTGCTTTAGTCCTGCTTTAGTCCTGCTTTAGTCCTGCTTTAGTCCTGCTTTAGTCCTGCTTTAGTCCTGCTTTAGTCCTGCTTTAGTCCTGCTTTAGTCCTGCTTTAGTCCTGCTTTAGTCCTGCTTTAGTCCTGCTTTGGCTGTTTGAGTGTCTAAGTGGGGCTTCCAGAGGAGAACGTTAATCTCTCGCTTTTACCAACGGTCTCTGCTGCAGAACTTTTGAAACGGAATTGAAACACCATCTATTAGATCCATGGACGCTACACATGGTGCGGGTTTTGTTTTTGCATTTCCCAGAATGCTTTGCGGTTCCTGCCCGGCCGTGATAGGTCGAGAAGCCTCTGCCTACATCCCCCAGAATGCCGCGCACTTCTGACTCTGAACATTCTGTCGACCCTGTTTTCTATTGATGTCAAACACGTGTCTATCGCAATATAAATCCTTCTCATTTTATTGCCCAGCCCTAGAATGAACAAATGAATGAATGAATGGATGAATGGATGAATGAACGAATGAATGAATGAATGAATGAATGGATGAATGAACGAATGAATGAATGAATGAATGAATGGATGAATGGATGAATGAACGAATGAACAAATCTGACCAGAGGAGGCCCCCCGAGGAAAATGGTCCCCTGCTTCTTGACGATGATGCTCTCGTCGGCCATGGCGGGAACGTAGGCGCCGCCTGCCGTGCACGAGCCCATCACCACGGCGATCTGAACACAAACCACATCAGAGGAAGGTCTATTGATTTACCAGCGTGCGTCAGTGACTCACGCTGGTCCAGACGCACGCTGGTCCAGACTCACGCTGGTCCAGACTCACGCTGGTCCAGACTCACGCTGGTCCAGACTCACGCTGGTCCAGACTCACGCTGGTCCAGACTCACGCTGGTCCAGACTCACGCTGGTCCAGACTCACGCTGGTCCAGACGCACGCTGGTCCAGACGCACGCTGGTCCAGACGCACGCTGGTCCAGACGCACGCTGGTCCAGACGCACGCTGGTCCAGACTCACGCTGGTCCAGACTCACGCTGGTCCAGACTCACGCTGGTCCAGACTCACGCTGGTCCAGACTCACGCTGGTCCAGACTCACGCTGGTCCAGACTCACGCTGGTCCAGACTCACGCTGGTCCAGACTCACGCTGGTCCAGACGCACGCTGGTCCAGACGCACGCTGGTCCAGACGCACGCTGGTCCAGACGCACGCTGGTCCAGACTCACGCTGGTCCAGACTCACGCTGGTCCAGACGCACGCTGGTCCAGACGCACGCTGGTCCAGACGCACGCTGGTCCAGACGCACGCTGGTCCAGACGCACGCTGGTCCAGACGCACGCTGGTCCAGACGCACGCTGGTCCAGACGCACGCTGGTCCAGACGCACGCTGGTCCAGACGCACGCTGGTCCAGACTCACGCTGGTCCAGACTCACGCTGGTCCAGACTCACGCTGGTCCAGACTCACGCTGGTCCAGACTCACGCTGGTCCAGACTCACGCTGGTCCAGACTCACGCTGGTCCAGACTCACGCTGGTCCAGACTCACGCTGGTCCAGACTCACGCTGGTCCAGACTCACGCTGGTCCAGACTCACGCTGGTCCAGACTCACGCTGGTCCAGACTCACGCTGGTCCAGACGCACGCTGGTCCAGACGCACGCTGGTCCAGACGCACGCTGGTCCAGACGCACGCTGGTCCAGACGCACGCTGGTCCAGACGCACGCTGGTCCAGACGCACGCTGGTCCAGACGCACGCTGGTCCAGACGCACACTGGTCCAGACGCACTCTGGTCCAGACGCACTCTGGTCCAGACGCACTCTGGTCCAGACGCACGCTGGTCCAGACGCACGCTGGTCCAGACCCACACTGGTCCAGAGGAGATGGTTTGTGGGTACAGACCTGTGCGATGCCCTGAGACGACAGGTTGGCCTGGTTAAAGAAGATCCTCCCAAAGTGGTCTCGGTCCGGGAACACGTCGGCCTGACGGGGCAGGTTAGCACCACCTGAGTCCACTGGAAACACACGTTTAATACTGTTGTTAGAGCAGAGAAGAAGAGAAGTGGACCTCAAAGTCCAGTCCTCACAGACCTGAAAGACCTGAAAGACCTGAAAGACCTCAAAGACCTGAAAGACCTGAAAGACCTCAAAGACATCGAAGTCCAGTCCTCACACCTCTAGTAGTAATCGGGCCACAGTTCTCGGACAGAATCAATGCAGTGCACACATGGTCTCTCTCGTCTCCCTCTCTCTCGTCTCCCTCTTCTCCCTCTCTCGTCTCCCTCTCCTCCCTCTCTCGTCTCCCTCTCCTCCCTCTCTCTCGTCTCCCTCTTCTCCCTCTCTCGTCTCCCTCTTCTCCCTCTCTCGTCTCCCTCTTCTCCCTCTCTCGTCTCCCTCTTCTCCCTCTCTCGTCTCCCTCTCTCTCGTCTCCCGTCTCCCTCTCCTCCCTCTCTCTCGTCTCCCTCTTCTCCCTCTCTCGTCTCCCTCTCCTCCCTCTCTCTCGTCTCCCTCTCTCGTCTCCCTCTCCTCCCTCTCTCTCGTCTCCCTCTCCTCCCTCTCTCTCCTCCCTCTCTCTCGTCTCCCTCTCCCTCCCTCTCTCGTCGTCTCCCTCTCCTCCCTCTCTCTCGTCTCCCTCTCTCTCGTCTCCCTCTCTCTCGTCTCCCTCTCTCTCGTCTCCCTCTCTCTCGTCTCCCTCTCTCTCTCGTCTCTCCCTCTCTCTCGTCTCCCTCTCTCTCGTCTTTCTCGTCTCCCTCTCTCTCGTCTCCCTCTCTCTCGTCTTTCTCGTCTCCCTCTCTCGTCTCTCTCGTCTCCCTCGTCTCTCTCGTCTCTCTCGTCTCCCTCGTCTCCCTCGTCTCCCTCGTCTCCCTCGTCTCCCTCGTCTCCCTCGTCTCTCTCGTCTCTCTCGTCTCTCTCGTCTCTCTCGTCTCTCTCGTCTCTCTCGTCTCCCTCGTCTCCCTCGTCTCTCTCGTCTCCCTCGTCTCTCTCGTCTCCCTCGTCTCCCTCGTCTCTCTCTCGTCTCCCTTTCTCTCTCGTCTCCCTCTCTCTCGTCTCCCGTCTCTCTCGTCTCCCGTCTCTCTCGTCTCTCGTCTCTCTCGTCTCTCTCGTCTCTCTCGTCTCTCTCGTCTCCCTCTCTCTCGTCTCCCTCTCTCTCGTCTCCCTCTCTCTCGTCTCCCTCTCTCTCGTCTCTCTCGTCTCCCTCGTCTCTCTCTCTCTCGTCTCCCTCTCTCTCGTCTCCCTCTCTCTCGTCTTTCTCGTCTCCCTCTCTCGTCTCTCTCGTCTCCCTCGTCTCCCTCGTCTCCCTCGTCTCCCTCCCTCGTCTCCCTCGTCTCCCTCGTCTCTCTCGTCTCTCTCGTCTCTCTCGTCTCTCTCGTCTCCCTCGTCTCCCTCGTCTCTCTCGTCTCCCTCGTCTCCCTCGTCTCTCCTCGTCTCCCTCGTCTCTCTCGTCTCCCTCGTCTCCCTCGTCTCTCTCTCGTCTCCCTTTCTCTCTCGTCTCCCTCTCTCTCGTCTCCCGTCTCTCTCGTCTCCCGTCTCTCTCGTCTCTCTCGTCTCTCGTCTCTCTCGTCTCTCTCGTCTCCCTCTCTCTCGTCTCCCTCTCTCTCGTCTCCCTCTCTCTCGTCTCCCTCTCTCTCGTCTCCCTCTCTCTCGTCTCCCTCTCTCTCGTCTCCCTCTCTCTCGTCTCTCTCGTCTCTCTCGTCTCCCTCGTCTCTCTCGTCTCCCTCGTCTCCCTCGTCTCCCTCCTCTCCCGTCTCCTCACCCAGGTAAATGCACGGCAGGTGATTCTGTTGAGCGATTTCTTGAGCGCGGAGGTGTTTCTTCACAGTGACTGGGTAATAAGTGCCGCCTTTGACAGTGGCATCGTTAGCCACAATGACACACTCCACCCTAGAAAAAAAAATAAGAATAATCAAAAGGTTCCTGTTCAGTGGTCCCTGGTTAATCGCGGGGGTGATGTGTTCTCAAAATAACACGCAATAAGTGACGTAAGTAAGCGTAGCAGCTGTGTTTGTAAAAACCCAACATACTTTTCTAACCACCTGAACTCACCACTGCTGACGAGAGAGACCAGAGAGAGACCAGAGAGAGAGACCAGAGAGAGACCAGAGAGAGACGAGAGAGAGACGAGAGAGAGACGAGAGAGAGACCAGAGAGAGACCAGAGAGAGACCAGAGAGAGACCAGAGAGAGACCAGAGAGAGACCAGAGAGAGACCAGAGAGAGACGAGAGAGAGACCAGAGAGAGACCAGAGAGAGACCAGAGAGAGACCAGAGAGAGACGAGAGAGAGACCAGAGAGAGACCAGAGAGAGACCAGAGAGAGACCAGAGAGAGACCAGAGAGAGACCAGAGAGAGACCAGAGAGAGACCAGAGAGAGTCCAGGGAGAGACCAGAGAGAGAGACCAGAGGGAGACCAGAGGGAGACCAGAGGGAGACCAGAGAGAGACCAGAGAGAGACCAGAGAGAGACCAGAGGGAGACCAGAGAGAGACCAGAGCGACACCAGAGAGAGACCAGAGAGAGAGAGGAGAGAGACCATTAAGAGACTTGAGGGAGAGACCAGAGAGAGCCCAGAGAGAGAGACCAGAGAGAAAGACCAGCGAGAGACCGTAAACAGACCAGAGACCAGCTTTCTCCGCTCCCTCTCAGCTCTGTCTCTCCCTCTCTCTTCTCCATCTCTCTCTCTGCTCTCTGCTTTCTCTCTTTTCTAACCCGCAGCAAAAACGGCGAGGCCACGAAAGGTAAACCACGACAGAGCGAGAGACAACAAAACAACAAAAGTTACAGAGGTTTCTCACCCAGACACTCGCCCGATCCCAGTGATGATGCCGCCGGCCGGGACCTCCTCTTTGCCGTAAAGCTCGTAGGCGGCAAACTGAGAGAACTCCAGGAAAGGACTCCTGGGAAAAGAGAGCGTTTATCCGTCACTTCCAGTCTCGCTCTATAAAACCTTAAAACCAGATGAGAAACTGAGGGGTGATCCTGGACTCAGGCTTAGATCCTTTTTTTTTTTTTTTCTTTTTTTTAACTTTATTACATTTTAATACAATTACAAGAATTAAAACATAAAAGAAAGAAATAAAACAAAATTATATTCGAAATCTAATATATACGGTTTACAAATACAGTAGGTGTTAAGGTGGGAGGGGTTGGGGGGGGGGGAGGGGAGAGTAAAAAAATAAATAAATAATTATTCGGGTTGCGTTTTTTATTGTTTCAGTTCTGCCTTGGTTTGCGGAGTTTCTGTATATGTATGTGAATGTGTATGCAATGCAGGGGTGCATAGGTGCTATGTCGAATGTGGTCAAATTAGTCTATATATTTTACTAAAAAAAAAAAAAAAAAAAAAAAAAAAGGGGGTATATATATACACATCATCATCGCTATCACTATTATCATCGTCATTGCCACAATCATTACCCATTGCTAATTTTTATCTTGCTGAGTTTTGGTGAAAAATAATAATAGTAGAATAAATGACAATAATAATAAATAAATAATTAATATTAACTAAAATAAACAAACAAATAATAATAATAATGAAAAGCAGAGCGTGTTGCGAGACGGGCTCACTCAACAGGCCCTGCTTGTCCTCTTGTCAGTCCTGTGAGGTGCATTAACAAAAACAAGAACTCAGGCTTAGATCCTAATGGCTACATCCAATCAGTAACATCTGCAGATTTTTACCATCTGAAAAAAACTAAAATAAACATGGTGTCTGAAGAAGACGTGGAGATTTTTATCCGTGCATACCTTATCCTCACACCGTTTAATGTACAGTGATTATTTATGTGCTATACATATAAACCTGTCTGGATCTATATCATTTTCAACAGAGCATTAAGGGGACACATTATAAGAAAAGCCGTACCCTGGGTCCAGAAGTCGGTCTATGCGTTCTCTGGGCAAAAGCTTCCCTCGAGAAGTGTGAAGTTTTCTAGCTTTTTCACCACCACCTGAAAAAAATAACAAAAAAACAAGTGTATTAGTTTCCTGTTTGTGTGGACTTAAAGCTGGGGTACCTGACTTTTAAAACACTACCAATGGAGCGATGTAAACACACTCAAAACTATTTGCTTCCATCATTTGTTAACATTTATTTTTTGGCCCCTGTCACAGCTTTAGATTGACAGGGGAGAGAGAGAGAGAGAGAGAGAGAGAGACTCACTCAGCCAATCAGGTCTCAGCCCAAAGAGGCAAAAAGTGACTCACAGGGATCTTTCTTACAAGTATGACATGTTTTCAACAGGATGAAGATGTATTTAGTCTAACAAATTAATAACATTGGTAACACTCTTCCCCTCTCCTCCCTCCCCCTATATCCTTTCTCTCTTCTCTCTCTTGTTTCTCTGGTCTCCTCTTCCCTCCTTAACCCTCCGGTCTCTCCTTCTCCCTTCCCCCTGTCTTTCTCTCTCCTCACCCCTCTCCTTCTCTCTCCTCACCCCCCCTCCTTCTCTCTCCCTCACCCCCCTCCTACCTTCTCTCCCCTCACCTCTCTCCTCATCCCTCTCCTTCTCTCTCCCCTCACCTCTCTCCTCACCCCTCTCTCCTTCTCTCTCCCCTCACCTCTTTCTCCTCTCCTCACCCCTCTCCTTCTCTCTCCTCACCCCTCTCCTTCTCTCTCCCCTCACCTCTCTCCTCACCTCCCTCCTCTCTCCCTCTCCTTCTCTCTCCTCACCCCTCTCCTTCTCTCTCCCCTCACCCCTCTCCTTCTCTCTCCCCTCACCTCTTTCTCCTCTCCTCACCCCTCTCCTTCTCTCTCCCCTCACCCCTCTCCTTCTCTCTCCCCTCACCTCTCTCTCCCCTCACCTTTCTCCTCTCCCCTCTCCTTCTCTCTCCTCACCCCTCTCCTTCTCTCTCCTCTCCCCTCTCCTTCTCTCTCCTCTCCCCTCTCCTTCTCTCTCTCTCCCCTCTCCTTCTCCTTCTCTCCCTCACCTCTTTCTCCTCTCCTCTCCTTCTCTCTCCTCACCCCTCTCCTTCTCTCTCCTCACCCCTCTCCTTCTCTCTCCCCCTCACCTCTTTCTCCTCTCCTCACCTCTCTCTCCCCCTCACCTTTCTCCTCTCCCCTCTCCTTCTCTCTCCTCTCCCCTCTCCTTCTCTCTCCTCTCCCCTCTCCTTCTCTCTCCCCTCACCTCTTTCTCCTCTCCTCTCCTCCTCTCTCTCCTCACCCCTCTCCTCCTCTCTCTCCCCTCACCTCTTTCTCCTCTCCTCTCTCTCCTCCTCACCCCTCTCCTTCTCTCTCCTCACCCCTCTCCTTCTCTCTCCTCTCTTCTCTCTCCTCTACTCTGTCCCAAGGAGCTCACAGAGGCAAAAAGTGACTCACAGGGCTCTTTCTTACCCGTGTGCAAAAGATATAATGTTTCCTAATAAGACTTTGACAAAGCTCCTGTTTGGGACCAACACAATGTATTCTTAAAGTTACAGACCTCAGCTTTAAGATAAACACAGACATTGATTAATTCACTCAGAGTTTTACCCAGTTTGATCTTCTCTGTCCGTGTTCTCAGTTCATCCACAAGAACCTTCATGCGTTCATAGTTCTCCTGCAGAACAGACAGAAGTGAAGTGTTTGGGTCCCACAGAGAAAAAAAACAACAGTAAGAACGAAAGGAGGAGAAATATTTAGAACTAAAATCATTCTGCGGAAGTGCATCCAATAGTAAAGATGTCCACTAAATATATTTACAATTATGTACCAGCAACAAGAACAAAAATCTGTTTTATATGTTCACATTATAACACCACCGAGGGGCAATGAGATCAGAGAGAGAGAGAGAGAGACCAGAGAGAGAGAGAGACCAGATAGAGAGACCAGAGAGGAACCAGAGAGTAGAGCAGAGAGAGAGAGAGAGAGACAGACCAGAGAGAGAGAGAGAGAGACCAGAGAGAGAGAGAGAGAGAGACCAGAGAGAGAGAGAGAGACCAGAGAGAGAGAGAGACCAGAGAGAGAGAGACCAGAGAGAGAGAGAGAGAGAGAGAGACCAGAGAGAGAGAGAGAGAGAGAGACCAGAGAGAGAGAGAGAGACCAGAGAGAGAGAGAGACCAGAGAGAGAGAGACCAGAGAGAGAGAGAGAGAGAGACCCAGAGAGAGGACCAGAGAGAGAGAGAGAGAGAGAGAGACCAGAGAGAGAGAGAGAGAGAGACCAGAGAGAGAGAGAGAGAGAGAGACCAGAGAGAGAGAGAGACCAGAGAGAGAGAGACCAGAGAGAGAGAGAGAGAGAGAGACCAGAGAGAGAGAGAGAGAGAGAGAGGAGACCAGAGAGAGAGAGAGAGAGAGACCAGAGAGAGAGAGAGAGAGAGACCAGAGAGAGAGAGAGAGAGAGAGAGACCAGAGAGAGAGAGAGAGAGAGAGAGACCAGAGAGAGAGAGAGAGAGAGAGACCAGAGAGAGAGAGAGAGGAGAGAGAGACCAGAGAGAGAGAGAGAGAGAGACCAGAGAGAGAGAGAGAGACCAGAGAGAGAGAGAGAGAGAGAGACCAGAGAGAGAGAGAGAGAGAGAGACCAGAGAGAGAGAGAGAGAGAGAGACCAGAGAGAGAGAGAGAGACCAGAGAGAGAGACCACAGAGAGAGAGAGAGAGAGAGAGAGACCAGAGAGAGAGAGAGAGAGAGACCAGAGAGAGAGAGAGAGACCAGAGAGAGAGAGAGAGACCAGAGAGAGAGAGAGAGACCAGAGAGAGAGAGAGAGACCAGAGAGAGAGAGAGAGAGAGACCAGAGAGAGAGAGAGGTTCCATTTTTCTAATGACACTTGTCTGCTTTTCCATCAGAACTATTCATGTGTTCCGTCTCCTGTCATGTCCCACACACAGCTGTTAGCATTAGCACAGAGCTAGCACACACCTGGTAGTCTGAGGACTGAGTATCGGGCTGTGATCCGAGCCTCGCCACTTGATCTGCATGATACGAGCGGACACCGGACACAGGCCTGCACCGGAGCCATGGCCGGAGCACACGGAGCATCTTCCCCTCAGCTGCACAAACGTGAAGTGTGATGTTGTTTTGCTGCTAGCTTACAGGCTAAGCTAGCACTGACAGCACATCTGCAGTGTGTGTGAGGAGGCCCGGGCCCAGAGTGCTCCTCTCTCCGCAGCTTCAGAGAGATACAGCCTGGTTTAATGCAGAAAAGTAGATGTTAGAGGTGTTTGTGAGAAGAGACGCTCCTCTGCAGAGTGAAGGCTGTGGGAAAGTCAAAGAGGACGCGTGGTCCTGCAGCGCCCTCTGCTGGTCACCTCCAGGCATTACATGGGGAGACAAGAGAGGGAGAGATACACAGAGAGAGGGAGAGAGAGGGAGATACACAGAGAGAGGGAGAGAGAGGGAGATACACAGAGAGAGAGGGAGAGAGGGAGATACACAGAGAGAGGGAGAGAGAGGGAGATACACAGAGAGAGGGAGAGAGAGGGAGATACACAGAGAGAGGAGAGATACACAGAGAGAGGGAGAGAGAGGGAGATACACAGAGAGAGGGAGAGAGAGGGAGATACACAGAGAGAGGGAGGAGAGAGGGAGATACACAGAGAGAGGAGAGAGAGAGGGAGATACACAGAGAGAGGGAGAGAGAGAGGGAGATACACAGAGAGAGGGAGATACACAGAGAGAGAGAGGGAGATACACAGAGAGAGGGAGATACACAGAGAGAGGGAGATACACAGAGAGAGGGAGAGAGAGAGGGAGATACACAGAGAGAGAGGGAGAGAGAGGGAGATACACAGAGAGAGGGAGAGAGAGGGAGATACACAGAGAGAGGGAGAGAGAGGGAGATACACAGAGAGAGGGAGAGAGAGGGAGATACACAGAGAGACAGAGAGAGAGGGAGATACACAGAGAGAGAGGGAGATACACAGAGAGAGGGAGATACACAGAGAGAGAGGGAGATACACAGAGAGAGAGAGAGAGGGAGAGAGGGAGATACACAGAGAGAGGGAGATACACAGAGAGAGGGAGAGAGAGGGAGATACACAGAGAGAGAGGGAGATACACAGAGAGAGGGAGATACACAGAGAGAGAGGGAGAGAGAAGGAGACACAGAGAGAGGGGGAGAGACAGTCAGAGAGAGGAGAGAGATAGCTAGGGTGACAGAGAGAGGGGGAGAGAGAGAGAGGAGAGAGATACAGAGAGAGAGGGAGAGAGATAGAGAGGGAGGGAGAAACTGACAGAGAGAGGGAGAGACAAACAGAGAGAGGGGGAGACAGAGAGAGGAGAGAAATACTGAGAGAGAGGGAGACACAGGGAGAAAGAGAGAGAAAGAGACAGAGAGGGAGGTAGAGAAGGAGACGCAAAGAGAAAGATAGAAAGAGACAGAGAGGGAGGTAGAGGTGGAGATACAGAGAGAGGAAGAGAGAAAGAAACAGAGAGAGGAAGAGACAGAGAGGGAGGTAGAGATGGAGACGCAAAGAGATAGAAAGAGACAGAGATGGAGGTAGAGGTGGAGATACAGAGAGAGGAAGAGAGAAAGAAAGAGAGAGAAAGAGACAGAGATGGAGGTAGAGGTGGAGATACAGAGAGAGGAAGAGAGAAAGAAAGAGACAGAGAGGGAGGTAGAGGTGGAGATACAGAGAGAGGAAGAGAGAAAGAAAGAGACAGAGAGGGAGGTAGAGGTGGAGATACAGAGAGAGGAAGAGAGAAAGAAAGAGACAGAGAGGGAGGTAGAGGTGGAGATACAGAGAGAGGAAGAGAGAAAGAAAGAGACAGAGAGGGAGGTAGAGAAGGAGACGCAAAGAGATAGAAAGAGACAGAGAGGGAGGTGGAGATGGAGATACAGAGAGAGGAAGATAGAAAGATACAGAGAGAGGAAGAGACAGAGAGGGAGGTAGAGAGAAAGAATAACAACAGTAGGAATGAAAAGCTCAAGATACATTACTGAAAAATATTTTGAAAATACATTAAAATCATTCTTAAGTGTTTCAAAGCCAAAGACTGTATCCTACATTTCATACACACTGAAAAGAAGTATCTTACCCCCGTAGCACCCTCGGGAATCTCTCATCTGGGGTGAGGAGTAGATCGAGCCACTGTCCATGCAGAAACCAGAAGTATTGCAGCATGGATTTTATAGAATACATTTATTACACAATGTCTTCAGGGCATCAGGCTTGATTCTTTCATAAAAAATAAAAAAAAATAAAAACGAAAGAGTGAGTTTGAGCAAAACATTTTTATTTGTTTCTATAATCAAAAACTACTTCCAATGGAATCCTGAAAAAAATAGTGAGTTAGTCTTTCAGCAGTCAAAAGTAAGTCATGTATAAGGTTTTTTATTTTATTTTATCGCTTTTTATAAATGTTAAAATTGGTGAATATAACTTTAGACACAGCTAAACAAGGCTAAACCAAATGCTAACTGCCGCGAGTAAGTTTGTGTTGCTATGGTAACTAGCACTCGCTCTTCCCTGAACCAAGGACCAGCACATTTGATTATTTATTTATTTATTTATGTATTATGCGGTGCTATTTATCTTTTTGCATTACTATTTATGTATGTATTTACTTTATTTATTATTATTATCATTATTTTTTTCATCACGGCAACTGCATATTTACTCTTCAGCTCTTTACTGCCTCCCAGTGGACCCAGGGTGCAATGGACACGTGCAGATGCAGACAGCTCACCAGCAACACTCACAGGCTTTTATTGATTCTGAATCATTGAATCCAAATAGACCTCTCTTCACTGACGCCCACGATGACACAAGACAAGGATTTGGACGACACCCTCTCTGTCAACAAGAGTCTGAGAATATATATAATTATTAATGTATCGTCATAAAGAGAGGACTCATGATTCAGATTCACAGCTGATTCATAACACCAGAAATCACAGACGTCAATGTTCTGTGGCCTTGAATGTAACAGATTCAGTCTCCACTTTCAAGGCCAGGCTTAAAACAGTTATTTGTAGAAATTTGTAGAAATAGAAAGGAGGAGACCAGGGGAAGGCCCAGGACACGCTGAGGGACTGTGTCTGTCTCTGGCATGGGGACACCTTGGGGTCCTCCTGGATGAGCTGGAGGAGGTGTGTGTGAAGAGAACATATCAGGCACTTCCTCTGTGAATATACCTAATAATAAGAACATACATTCTATACTTCTCTGACTGACTAACAATAGTGCAGTGTAGATAACTTTGTAGTACACTTTAATGCATGAATATTGAAGTACTGAGTTAATGTCTCTGTTCAAATACAAAGTGATGATGAGACTGCTCTTCATCACAGTAACTACAGTAACTTTCCCAGCACTGGTTAAAGGAGCAATATGTAAAAATCTGTTCAAAAGTGGAAGTGCACTCTCCCTGACTCAGGTTGTCAGATTTGCAGACGAATCCAGCTGGAACCATTGTAGCTGAATGGAGATTTGTCAACAACAAATCTACAGAATAACAAAGATAGAAATCCTGGTGTATTTATGTGTTTTGTCGTTAATGATTTGAGAATCATTACCAGCCTTTTTAGTTCTGCGGCCACATGGTTCTTTACCAGTGAGATTAGCTCCACGCGGTGAGTTCTGGCGCCCGGATCACAGACTTTCTGATTGGTGAAACGGTGGAGGGCGGGACATCGAAATGAAAACAACATTTAGAGGCTGTAAAACTAATGTAGAAATTCACATATCCCTGAACTACTGTAATCAGTTAAAGAAGTGTTGGAAAAGAACATGTTTTATTAATGCCTTTTGAGAGATTAGGGCCCTTTAATGATGACTTGACATAAAAATCTTACATATTTTAGGTTAGTCCTTGTTTCTAAACTGCAAAAAGGTGATAAACAATTGCTCAAATTTGGCTCAATGTATCTTAATTTGAGCACATACAAAAAAAAAGAAATATCTTCCTTTGAATGAGAAAGACAGCTCTTGAAATAAGTCTAAACGGCGTTGTCCCGTTGGAGAATCCTGTTTTAACGCACTCAGAATGTTCCCAAATAAAGCCATTTTTACCTCATATTTAATCGTTTTTTGCAGTGCACAGCAGAGGGACCCACAGAAATAACCAAGTTCGGTCATTACTCCTCTCTCCATCTCTCTACTTTATTGCACTTATTACAATCCAGCCGCTAAAGCCTTTTGAAGAGCGCGTACGTGGATGTGTTTTCAATGGAGGGAATCGGAGTTAGTCTAAAAAGCTTTACAAACTCACACTTCTGACCCCTTCGCTTTATTCCCATGTGCTTCGGGCAGAGTCCAGGCTGTGAAGAGCATTCAAACCAAGAGCTTTTAGTTTCATTTAGCAGCAAGAGGCCTTCTCTCCTCCAACTACTCCCACCTCCTCTGAGGCCGTGCGCACAGGCGGCCCTGACCCTCACTCAAATGGCGGCTCCTGTTTTCTTAGGAAACACACGGTACTCTACTCTACACTGGTCCCCGGCTCTGCCCCTGACCTCCTCACTGCTGCAGCCGCAAGAGACGGAATAAATGTAGAGGCATGAAAAGCCACTTAGCCCACGGAGAGGGAAAAAAAGAGAGAATGAAATGAATAAAGAATAAATAAGCCAGACGATGTTAAAGAAGAGAGAGAATGTGGTGAGGACGGGAGATAAACAGGGTGAGGGTTCTGTGTTGTCACCGCTCAAGGAAGAGTGTGATGAAGGAGGAGAGGGCAGAGGTCAGTGCTGAGGAGAGAGAGGAGGAGGGAGAGGAGAGAGAGGAGAGGAGATGAGAGGAGATGAGAGGAGAGAGGAGAGAGGAGAGAGAGGAGGGAGAGGAGAGGAGAGAGAGAGAGAGGAGAGGAGGAGAGAGGAGGGAGAGGAGAGGAGAGAGAGAGAGAGGAGAGATGAGAGGAGAGAGAGGAGAGGAGAGAGAGGAGAGAGAGAGAGAGAGAGAGAGAGAGAGAGGAGAGGAGAGAGAGGAGAGGAGAGGAGAGAGAGAGGAGAGAGGAGAGGAGAGAGAGGGAGATGAGAGGAGAGAGAGGCGAGGAGAGAGAGAGAGAGAGGAGAGAGGAGAGGAGAGAGAGGAGAGGAGAGGAGA